GGGTGGGGGGGGGGGGGGGAGGAGGCGAAGACGCGGGCGCATGGCCTGTCCGGTCAGCGGTCCGCGTGGTATCAGGTTCGACTCCCGCGAGACGCGAGTGAAAGTCAGAGACGCGGAAGTAGGGCGCCGCCATAGAGCACGCAGGCCGAGTGTGTCGAAGGGGTCGCGGGCGGCGGGCGGGCTGTGAACTTGAGAAGCTACGTCGCTGGCCTTTCCCACACCCTCGGCGCTTGTATTGCTTTCCATTCACTTTCGCTGCATCCTGACAGCACATCGATTATCTTACCAAGTGTGTCGTGGGAGCAAGCGGGTCTAGGCCGGGTCCAGTGTGCTCGTCGTATGAGGTCAGACAGGCAGCCTTTCAGCAGCGAGCAAGACCTCTCAGTGTCCCGCAGACTCTGCGATACGCAGTCACAGAGTGGCTGAACCTGGTGTCGGGATGAAGGGCGGATCAAAGTAAGGGTGGCTTTGGTTGGTTTTGGTGCTTGTCACTTCAACTTAAAACCTGTTTAACGTGGAGCTTAGGGTTAACTTAGCAAAAACCGTTGACAGTACAAGAAACTGGATGAGGAAATGGAGATAAAGCTCCGCCCTTTCTAAACCTTCAGCTCCCGGGTAAATGCCCCGCTGTTGATCCCACCCTTTGTGTCGTCACACAGGCGGGAAATCTCGTAGAGATCTGCGTGTTTTACTTCAGGCATTACCCTGTGTGCTGTTCTGTATGTTCTGCTTGCTAGGCGCCCAAACTGACTTTGTAGTGTAAAAGCGACATATGCCCACTGCTCTCTCATAGTTTGATTATCGTTTGATGCATAGAGACATCATGATGTGATGACACTGCTTCAATTAGCACAGATTGTGTGTGATGTCATGAGAACAGACGCACTCAATAGTGATTTATGAACTGAGATCCCAAGTTGGATCATTTGGCCCTCGTCTGTCGAAATCGTGCAGGACCGGATAGAAAAAGTTAAAATTTAAAATCACACCCCGTGGCCCGGGCAGGTTCGACACGTTATTCTATAGCCGTGTGCATGAAATTTCAACATTTGAAGTAAACTTTTCATCAGGCCTGTATTTGCCTCCCAATACAAAAGCAAATTTTGCGCCCGATTACCTACAACTTGCTTTATCTTTTCCTCCTCTGCGTTCGTTAGGAACTTGACTAGGCCACTTTGGTTTACTTTAGCGCAAAATAACACGCGATACTCCGACATGAATGCATATGTGAACAGAAGTGACCTTCACTTAGGACACAAATTAATCTTCAGAAAATAGGGCGTGGGGAATTCAACTGGATTTATCTGACTCAGGGTAAGTTTATTCCGTTCCCATAAAAGGAGTGAAATTTCTTTACCATTTGAGTAGCTGAGTATGGAGTTATGGAGTAAGCACGTTTCGCTGTGAAGTGTTCGCTTATCAGGCATTACAATTCCAAGGCTGGGAAGTAGAGAACTCTGCCAGAGGCCTAGGCCTAGGCCTGCATGAAGCCCGCGCAGGGCAGCCGATGTTGGTCGTCGTTGTGCCGGGACGAAATTGTTAGAAGCTGCCACGGGATCACAGAGTACAAGTGGCTGGATTACATTGGCGTATTTATTTTGCAACCAGTCTCTAGTACATGCACAAAGTACAGTATTCTTTCTACATAAAATATAATAAGCTAATAAGCCTAAGCATTTGTATATTTTAGTAAAACAAAAATAAATATATTAAAATAGAATATATTTACTCACTGGGAGAAAACAATACGAATACACGAGGAGCGGCCTGGGCAAAGCCCATCTCTGCTGTCTCCGACTCGCAATATATTTACGCGCGTAAGTGTATCCGAGTGCAGATGGGACTAGAAACACCGAAGTGGGCCGCTGATGTGTCACTACGAGTGTTAGACCTAGCTCACTACAACACTGTGTTAAACAATTCATTACAACGTCCGTCCTGTTCAGGGTTGCAAACTGCAATCATGTTTGAACGTAGGTAAGTTTATTTGCTGTGGGGGGATTCACTTCACTGTCACACTGTTGGTAACACTGATGCATGAAAGCACTGTTCTATTGCCCTATTGCCAACACTGTATGAGAGTTTTAAAATCGTCTAAAAAGTACTGAGTTTATGAAACACTGGGTTAGAACCTCGGTGAGAAACCGCTGGCTGCCTTACAGGGCGTCGTGTGGATGGACCTGCAAACAGAAATGTAGTCAGACTTTATTACGACCTGGTTACACGGGAACATTCATCGCATGCCACGTCCTGGTAGATAGGTTACAGCATGCACACATGAGGACAAGCGCCACGCTCCACCACGACGCAAATGTCGACTGCACACACACACGTGCGGACACACGCCACGTTCTAACACCGAGCACGTCCGACTTCATGCAGACTTGCAGACAGACGGGACGTTCTAACACCTAGCATTTCTGATCGCATGCGGACGCGCTCCCAACGCCTGGCACCGAGCAGTGCCCGACTGCATGCATACGTGAGGATGAACTGAGAGCCACAAAGCAGAGTGTTACCTGCTCGGTGTCGCTACTTAGTAGTAAGAATGTTGACGTACTGTGTGGTGCTGGGTCCTTACGAGGGTGTGGCATGGCGCAAACGCATCACCGCCACCCACATCTACAGGAAAGAGAAACATAACACACAGTGAGTATTTACAGACCCTGATGCCTCAGCACACGGCGAGTGCGCGTTCGTGCGGTTCGGACCTCACCTGTGCTGCTTGAGGTTGTCCTGACGCTTGAAGGTCTTGCCACAAGTCTCGCACGTGAAGGTGACGTCATCCTTGTGCGTCCGCTCGTGGATCATGAGGTTGTAGGGCTTGGTGAAGCGGCGCTGACAGTACTTGCAGATGAACTCACACTTAGCCCTCATCTTGCGCCTGAATTCGCGACGGTCGTCCGCCTCAATGGGCATTATGGCGAACATCGCAGAGGGGTGAAATGGCGACACGCAGGAAGGTACACACACGCGCGCGAACACTGCTCTTCCTGGATCGCTCAGCTATGCAGACTGAAGGACGTCAGGAGTCTACCTGTGCACAGTGAAAGGAAGATTATTCCCCCTCCACAAATGAGAGAGTCGAACCCGGGTCAGCACGCTCCGAGGTACACAACCCGCGGTCCGCATTTCCCATAATTCTCCTACCTACTGGCCGAGATCTCAGCGTGGGAAATACGCGGTACGAAGACAGCGCCTCGGGGTGTAGCAGCCCGCTTCACACCGCCGCGACCCTGTGCCCGAGTGAGTCACTCCGGAACGTAAGACGCCGCGATTGTACCAAATCCCGAGCCACGTGAATTCAGTCCATCAAAATTATTCTTAATAAGAGAATATCCTCTCATTTTCTTTGCGTTTTGTCAGCGTTGTCTGTAGCCTTCAGGTTTCTTGTAATTGCTTGCAGTTTCTAACAGATTTCTCTTTTCCACGCGTGTTACATAACCCGCCTGTCTCATCATCTTTGCTTTCATCACCTTAATGATGTTTGCTGAAGAGCGAAAATTATTAAGCTCCTTATTATGCAAATTTCGCCTTCTCGCTCTTAGGTCCAAGTATTTTCAGTTCATTGCT